CTCATTTTTTTTGCTTTGATTGTTTCACACACCAAATTACATACCAATTGATGTTGAATCGGACTAGAACTCAAGCTAAGATTGAATTGAACTACGGTTAAATCTCTACAAGGTAACTTGAGGGTTGTTTTCTTGAGAAAGAGTTCCAATGACGAATTTCTTCCCATCAATGGTCACATATATGAGCGCAGAATCTCCCTTTTTCCCTTTGTCAAGTGATGCCTACAAATACATAGAAGAAAGAAAGAAAAAATCAAGAGATTGATTAACTAGTTCATGAAACTTAAGAAATTCTCAATAACCTGAGAAACGTGGACAAGGCAGTTTTGATCAGGCTTCACTTTTGCGATCTCCCATTAACTTTCAAGTAAAAAACAAAGGTTTGTATACTTTTTGTTCCTTTTGGTTCTTCTTTCATATATATAGAGATATTTAACAATAACATGCAATATGCATATATGAATTTCGATAGTTTGTAGTACAATGTCGAAGATGACGCGAACCATTACTTTTTACACAACTTTTTTGTAAACTTTGTAGTTTGTATACAATATTTTCAGAGATATATAACAATGGAATTTTTTCCTTTCTTACCATCTTTCTTCTTTTAATAGAACTTATAATGTTAGTTATTGTAATATATTATTTATTAACATTTTTCCCCCGTCTACAGTTCTTTATTACTTCAAAATGTTAATATCGTCACTTAGAAAAAGATCTTAAAAACCATAGACACCAATGATATAAAGACCATAAGGGTTCACATTGTTTGATTCCCGATATGTATGTAAGAATTTTATGGAGAGAAAACTTTACTTCTATGACTTGATATTATAGTTCAACTTGTTAGGAAATAACCGGTCAAATCTGCGAACGATTGCGAAAACAGACACTCGATTTGTTAACGGAGTTTGGCCAATGTTGCCTACGTCTCCGGACATGGTGCAGATCTTTTCTTATTAACCGGAAAATATTATCCGTCGAACAGTAACTCCGACGTGAACAGTAACTCCGTCATGAACAGTTGCTCCGACGTGAACAGTAACTCCATCGTGAACAGTGACTCCGACGAAATTACAAAGCTCTCAACTCACACACCCAAACTCAATTACACTCAAAGAGAACAACGTTCTTTCACAAAGAAAAATATTTTTTCCTCTCACTTTCTTTCTCTCCCACACTCACTTCTTCTTTGTTTTTGGTTTTGGGATGTTGGGATGATCTTGGGATGATTGATTATGATGAGGAGCTCATGTATTTATAGCACATTGGAGGAGGAGTTGGTGAAGTGTGAATGAGTGAGCCAAAATTGTTGAAACAAAATCAACCTCCATTTTTTACTCCTTTCACCAACCTCCCATTCTTGACTTGTGAAGCTTCCTTCACCAACCTCCTTTTTCACCACCGTCCGTGACTAACAATCTCCCACTTGAAGACTGATTTTAATCTGTCTTCACACCTTGATCAATACAGCAGGTCTTCTCCGCTTGTTACTCTAACAAGCCAACTGAGGTCGTANATAACCTCAGTTTCTCATAC